TTGTATTTATAGATCTGGCCGCACCCGGGACTATAAAATCCTCTGCAGATTATAATATGGAAATCCGGGACTATAAATATCTGGATGGTAATGAGCCGGGAGCACGCTTTGTGTCTGTGCTCCTCCTTCCCGTGTCTGCTCCTCCTTCCCGTGTCTGCGCTCCTCCTTCCCGTGTCTGCGCTCCTCCTTCCCGTGTCTGCGCTCCTCCTTCCCGTGTCTGCGCTCCTCCTTCCCGTGTCTGCGCTCCTCCTTCCCGTGTCTGCGCTCCTCCTTCCCGTGTCTGCGCTCCTCCTTCCCGTGTCTGCGCTCCCCCTTCTCGTGTCTGCTCCTCCTTCCCGTGTCTGCGCTCCCCCTTCCCGTGTCTGCGCTCCCCCTTCCCGTGTCTGCGCTCCCCCCCCTTCCCGTGTCTGCGCTCCCCCTTCCCGTGTCTGCGCTCCCCCTTCCCGTGTCTGCGCTCCCCCCCCTTCCCGTGTCTGCGCTCCCCCTTCCCGTGTCTGCGCTCCCCCTTCCCGTGTCTGCGCTCCCCCTTCCCGTGTCTGCGCTCCCCCTTCCCGTGTCTGCGCTCCTCCTTCCCGTGTCTGCTCCCCCTTCCCGTGTCTGCGCTCCCCCTTCCCGTGTCTGCGCTCCCCCTTCCCGTGTCTGCGCTCCCCCTTCCCGTGTCTGCGCTCCCCCTTCCCGTGTCTGCGCTCCCCCTTCCCGTGTCTGCGCTCCCCCTTCCCGTGTCTGCTCCTCCTTCCCGTGTCTGCTCCCCTCCTTCCCGTGTCTGCTCCTCCTTCCCGTGTCTGCGCTCCTCCTTCCCGTGTCTGCGTTCCTCCTTCCCGTGTCTGCGCTCCTCCTTCCCGTGTCTGCGCTCCCCCTTCTTGTGTCTGCTCCTCCTTCCCGTGTCTGCGCTCCTCCTTCCCGTGTCTGCGCTCCTCCTTCCCGTGTCTGCGCTCCTCCTTCCCGTGTCTGCGCTCCTCCTTCCCGTGTCTGCTCCTCCTTCCCGTGTCTGCGCTCCCCCTTCTCGTGTCTGCTCCTCCTTCCCGTGTCTGCGCTCCCCCTTCCCGTGTCTGCGCTCCTCCTTCCCGTGTCTGCGCTCCCCCTTCCCGTGTCTGCGCTCCCCCTTCCCGTGTCTGCGCTCCCCCTTCCCGTGTCTGCGCTCCTCCTTCCCGTGTCTGCTCCTCCTTCCCGTGTCTGCGCTCCTCCTTCCCGTGTCTGCGCTCCTCCTTCCCGTGTCTGCGCTCCTCCTTCCCGTGTCTGCGCTCCTCCTTCCCGTGTCTGCGCTCCCCCTTCTCGTGTCTGCTCCTCCTTCCCGTGTCTGCGCTCCTCCTTCCCGTGTCTGCGCTCCTCCTTCCCGTGTCTGCGCTCCTCCTTCCCGTGTCTGCTCCTCCTTCGCGTGTCTGCGCTCCCCCTTCTCGTGTCTGCTCCTCCTTCCCGTGTCTGCGCTCCCCCTTCCCGTGTCTGCGCTCCCCCTTCCCGTGTCTGCGCTCCCCCTTCCCGTGTCTGCTCCTCCTTCCCGTGTCTGCTCCTCCTTCCCGTGTCTGCTCCCCTCCTTCCCGTGTCTGTGTGTCTGCGCTCCTCCTTCCCGTGTCTGCGCTCCTCCTTCCCGTGTCTGCGCTCCTCCTTCCCGTGTCTGCGCTCCTCCTTCCCGTGTCTGCGCTCCTCCTTCCCGTGTCTGCGCTCCTCCTTCCCGTGTCTGCGCTCCCCCTTCCCGTGTCTGCGCTCCCCCTTCCCGTGTCTGCTCCCCCTTCCCGTGTCTGCTCCCCCTTCCCGTGTCTGTGCTCCCCCTTCCCGTGTCTGCGCTCCCCCTTCCCGTGTCTGCTCTCCCCCTTCCCGTGTCTGCGCTCCCCCTTCCCGTGTCTGCGCTCTCCTCCCCCTTCCCGTGTCTGCGCTCCCCCTTCCCGTTTCTGCGCTCTCCTCCCCCTTCCCGTGTCTGCTCTCCCCCTTCCCGTGTCTGCTCCCCCTTCCCGTGTCTGTGCTCCCCCTTCCCCGTGTCTGCGCTCCCCCCTTCCCGTGTCTGCGCTCCCCCTTCCCGTGTCTGCGCTCCCCCTTCCCGTGTCTGCGCTCCCCCTTCCCGTGTCTGCTCTCCCCCTTCCCGTGTCTGCGCTCCCCCTTCCCGTTTCTGCGCTCTCCTCCCCCTTCCCGTGTCTGCACTCCTCCCACATGTTCTCCCTGTGCCTGTGTGGGTTTCCTCTGGGTACTCCGGTTTCCTCCCACACTTCAGACATGCTGGAAGGTGAATTGGCTCCTGTCTATATTGTCCCTAGTATGTGTATGTATGGATGTGAGTTAGGGACCTTAGATTGTGCGCTCCTCGGGGGCGGGGCCTGATGTGATGTACAATATATATGTACAGCGCTGTGTATACTGAGGGTGATATACAAATACCTGAAATAATAAAATAAAGGAAAGGAAGCCTAAAAGAGAAAACTAACGCAGCCGCCACATGGAATGATTGGGAAGCTGCAATGTAGGAAATGTTTGTTTTTGGGTTTAATACGACTTTAATCGCCATGGCGGTAAGAATGTAAATCCGCGCGATGTCCCTCTGATCCTGGCACCGCGGCGTATCCCGCGTCTGTGTGCATCCCAGATCTGACGCCGCGCCGCGTCCTTCGCCTTTCATGAGCGTCACTCACCACACGCAGATCACATGACCCAAGAATCGCGCATCAAATACAGCCGCGTCCTTTAATGTCCATCGGGACCGGATTCCACAACCGATAAAAAGGATTATCACATGGGGGCCAAGTGCACCCCTCGGGGGGGAGGGGAGGGCAGCAAGCGCACAACCTGGCTTCTATCAGCAGTGCGACAGTTCAACGCCCAGAAGAGAAAATAACTCGCAGCAATCGGAATAAAAGAATATTTAATAAGTATTAATATCAGGAAAGGTGTGGCTTTTGTTGTGTTTTATATGTGCGATAAAATTGTGTAATTTATTATTATTATCTCTGATTTTATTATTCATCTTTTTTTTATTGTTTGATATTTCAGTTTATTATAATATTCGGTATAATTCTATTTTATATTTTACATTTCTATTATATTTTTATTTATTATGATTATTATGATATTTGTTGTTGGGTTGTTTTTTTTTTTTTTTCGTTTTTTTTTTTATTATTGTTTGATGTTTCAGTTTATGATAATATTCAGTATAATTCTATTTATATTTCTATTATATTTTTATTCATTATGATATTTGTTTTTTTTTTTTCATTATTATTATTGTTTGCTATTGCAGTTTGTTATAATATTCATTCGGTGGTGTTGTCGGGGCGGGGGGGACGGTTGTGGTGGTGTCGGGGGGGGGGGGGGGACGGTTGTGGTGGTGTCGGGGCGGGGGGGGGGGGACGGGACGGTGGTGGTGTCGGGGCGGGGGGGGGACGGTTGTGTGTGTTGTCGGGGCGGGGGGGGGGACGGTTGTGGTGTTGTCGGGGTGGGGGGGGGGGGGACGGTGGTGTTGTCGGGGTGGGGGGCGGTTGTGGTGGTGTCGGGGCGGGGGGGGGGACGGTTGTGGTGGTGTCGGGGCGGGGGGGGGGGGACGGTTGTGGTGGTGTCGGGCGCGGGGGGGGGGACGGTTGTGGTGGTGTCGGGGGGCGGGGGGGGGGGGGGGGGGGACGGTGGTGTCGGGGCGGGGGGGGGGCGGGTTGTGGTGGTGTCGGGGCGGGGGGGGGGGACGGTTGTGGTGGTGTCGGGGCGGGGGACGGTGGTGTTGGGGCGGGGGGGGGGACGGTGGTGGTGGTGGGGGCGGGGGGGGGGGGGGCGGTGGTGTTGTCGGGGTGGGGGGCGGTTGTGGTGGTGTCGGGGGGGGGCGGTTGTGGTGGTGTCGGGGCGGGGGGGGGCGGTTTGTGGTGGTGTCGGGGCAGGGGGGGGCGGTGGTGGTGTCGGGGCGGGGGGGGGGGGGGGGTTGTGGTGGTGTCGGGGGGGGGGGGGGACGGTGGTGTTGTCGGGGCGGGGGGGGGGCTGTTGTGGTGGTGTCGGGGCAGGGGGGGGGCGGTGGTAGTGTCGGGGCGGGGGGGACGACGGTTGTGATGGTGTCGGGGCGGGGGGGGACGGTTGTGGTGTTGTCGGGGCGGGGGGGACGGTTGTGGGTGGTGTCGGGGCGGCGGGGGGGGGACGGTTGTGGTGTTGTCGGGGGGCGGGGGGGGACGGTTGTGGTGGTGTCGGGCCGGCGGGGGGGACGGTTGTGGTGGTGTCGGGGCGGGGGACGGTGGTGGTGTCGGGGCGGGGGGGTGGTTGTATTGTCGGGGCGGGGGGGACGGTGGTGGTGTCGGGGCGGGGGGGGGGGACGGTTGTATTGTCGGGGCGGGGGGGGACGGTGGTGGTATTGTCGGGGCGGGGGGGGACGGTGGTGGTGTCGGGGCGGGGGGGACGGTGGTGGTGGTGTCGGGGGACGGTGGTTGTATTGTCGGGGCGGGGGGACGGTTGTATTGTCGGGGCGGGGGGGGGCGGTGGTGGTGTCGGGGCGGGGGGGGGGGGGACGGTGGTGTCGGGGGACGGTGGTTGTATTGTCGGGGCGGGGGGACGGTGGTGGTGTCGGGGCGGAGGGGCGGTTGTATTGTCGGGGCGGAGGGGCGGTTGTATTGTCGGGGCGGGGGGGCGGTTGTATTGTCGGGGCGGGGGGGGGACGGTTGTATTGTCGGGGCGGGGGGGGGGCGGTTGTATTGTCGGGGCGGGGGGGACGGTGGTGGTGTCGGGGCGGCGGGGACGGTGGTGGTGTCGGGGCGGCGGGACGGTTGTGGTGGTGTCGGGGCGGCGGGACGGTTGTGGTGGTGTCGGGGCGGGGGGGGGGGGGACGGTGGTGGTGTCGGGGCAGGTGGGGGTTGTTGGTGTTGGGGCGGGGGGGGACGGTGTTGGTGTCGGGGCGGGGGGGGGGGGACGGTGGTGGTGTCGGGGCGGGGGGACGGTGGTGGTGTCGGGGCGGCGGGACGGTGGTGGTGTCGGGGCAGGTGGGGGTTGTTGGTGTTGGGGTGGGGGGGGCGGGTTGTGAAGAGTCTGACATTTTGGTTGTTTTTCAGGTGTGACGTTTGCCGCGAAGGGTTACTTTGACGCTCTGGTGAAGATGGGAGAGTTGGCCAGTGAAAGCCAAGGATCCAAGGAGCTGGGTGAGTCCATCTGCGATGGGCAGGAGCTGGAGAGTCGTCCTGAGAGTCGGCTCCGCCATGGCTGATGATTGGCTGGCACCGGAGGATCAGAGGATGGCCTCCACTGTCATTGGTCGATGGGGACTTTAATAAACACTTTGCGTCGGGGCGGAGTAATGAAATGTATGCCGGAGGAAAGCTTTATTTGACACACAACCCTCCAACTCCGCATGGAGAATGGGTGGAGGGCCAGTCGCGGTGGGTGGAGGGCCGGTCGCGGTGGGTGGAGGGCCGGTCGCGGTGGGTGGAGGGCCGGTCGCGGTGGGTGGAGGGCCGGTCGCGGGGGTGGAGCGTTGGGCGCGGTGGGTGGAGCGTTGGGCGCGGTGAGTGGAGGGCCGGGCGCGGTGGGTGGAGCGTTGGGCACGGTGGGTGGAGGGCCGGTCGCGGTGGGTGGAGGGCCGGTCGCGGTGGGTGGAGGGCCGGTCGCAGTGGGTGGAGCGTTGGGCGCGGTGGGTGGAGGGCTGGTCGCGGTGGGTGAAGCGTTGGGCGCGGTGGGTGAAGCGTTGGGCGCGGTGGGTGGAGCGCCGGTCGCAGTGGGTGGAGCGTTGGGCGCGGTGGGTGGAGCGTCGGTTGCGGTGGGTGGAGCGTCGGTTGCAGTCGGTGGAAATGTCACGTTTCGGCTACTATACGTTTATATATTTACTGCAAAACCAACCCGCTCCCCGGCTGCCAATCATCAGCGATCGCAGAGTCCCGCACAGGCACACAGTCCGCACAGTCACAGACAGTCTGGTGCATTTGCTGGCAGGAGGGACACGATGAATGTGATGAATGTATATGGCGACTATGTAGGTCAGAACCAACTATACATGGGGGGGGCGGAATCTGGTACAGCTGTGCACCCCCCCAGTTGTAGTAAGTCGCCCCCTAGTGTCCCAGTTGTTGTCACTCTGAAGATGGGGTCATGATTCTGTTAGCTGACAATGCAGTGCAGACTGGAGTTCCCCTTTAACACTTCGTCTGGTTGAACCTTTTATCCTCTGGTTGGGTTTGTTGGATATGAAGCCGCAAATGTTTGGTTCTTGTCCTGGCGTGGTTGGTGGTCCTCCTGCGTGGTTGGGGGGGTCTCCCGCGTGGTTGGGGGGGTCTCCCGCGTGGTTGGGTGGTCTCCCTTGTGGTTGGGGGGTCTCCCTTGTGGTTGGGGGGCCTCCCTTGTGGTTGGGGGGCCTCCCGCGTGGTTTGGGGGGCCTCCCGCGTGGTTTGGGGGGTCTCCCGTGTGGTTTTGTCTTTTGTTACCAGATTGATCGGGGAACTACAAAAATCTACATAACTCAGCAGGGAGGTGTTCTGTAGTCCAGGAATGGGACCTCTCACTGGATTTCTATTTTATTATTATGAATAATTTCTTGGATCTGACCGAACCTACAATAGAGATAACGAACAAAAGGAAAGGTCCTCGTTGGGGTATATTCCAATGTATAACATGGTGAATCTGACATTCTCTGCGGGTGTATGTGTTGGGAATGGGGGCAGCACAGTGGCTCAGTGGTCAGCACTTCCCCCTGGCAGTACTCAGGTTGTCTGTTTGAATTCCAACCACAGTGCCACCTGCCTGGAGTTTGCATGTTCTCCCTGTGCGGGTTTCCTCCAGGTACTCCGGTTTCCCCCTACATTCCTCCCACACTCCAAAGAAATGCTGGGAGGTAAATTGTCCCTAGTATGTGTGAATGCCAGTTAGGGACCGTAGATTGTACGCTCCTCGGGGGCGGGGCCTGATGTAATGTACAATATATATGTAAAGTATACTGACAGAGATCTATAATTACCTGAAATAAATGAATGTCAGTGAATGATTCCCCATCCATGAATGGGCTGCACACATCCGACTGAATGGAGGGCGGTGGGACGGAGGGGGGTGATTCCAGGGGGGGGACTGTTGGGCGGTGGGACGGAGGGGGGTGATTCCAGGGGGGGGACTGTTGGGCGGTGGGACGGGGGGGAGTGATTCCAGGGGGGGGACTGTTGGGCGGTGGGACGGGGGGGAGTGATTCCAGGGGGGGGACTGTTGGGCGGTGGGACGGGGGGGGAGTGATTCCAGGGGGGGACTGTTGGGCGGTGGGACGGGGGGGAGTGATTCCAGGGGGGGACTGTTGGGCGGTGGGACGGGGGGGGTTATTCCAGGGGGGGACTGTTGGGTGGTGGGACGGGGGGGGGGTGATTCCATTCCAGGGGGGGACTGTTGGGAGGTGGGACAGGGGGGGTGATTCCAGGGGGGGGACTGTTGGGCGGTGGGACGGAGGTCCCTCCAGCCCCCCAAAACAGGGACCTGATGGCCACACATCCCCCCCCCAACCCAGGGACCTGATGGCCACACATCCCCCCCCCCCCCCCCCCAACCCAGGGACCTGATGGCCTCACATACCCCCCCCCCCCCCAACCCAGGGACCTGATGGCCTCACATACCCCCCCCCCCAACCCAGGGACCTGATGGCCTCACATACCCCCCCCCCCCAACCCAGGGACCTGATGGCCACACATAACCCCCCCCAACCCAGGGACCTGATGGCCACACATAACCCCCCCAACCCAGGGACCTGATGGCCACACATAACCCCCCCAACCCAGGGACCTGATGGCCACACATTCCCCCCCATCCCCCCCTCCACCCCCCCAACCCAGGGAACTGATGGCCACACATTCCCCCCCATCCCCCCCTCCACCCCCCCAACCCAGGGACCTGATGGCCACACATTCCCCCCCATCCCCCCCTCCACCCCCCCAACCCAGGGACCTGATGGCCACACATACCCCCCCCCCCAACCCAGGGACCTGATGGCCACACATACCCCCCCCCCAACCCAGGGACCTGATGGCCACACATACCCCCCCCCCGCGACACAGGGACCTGATGGCCACACATTCCCCTCAACACCCCCCCCCCCCCCTCAACCCCCCCCCCCCCCCCCCCCCCCCCCCCAACACAGGGACCTGATGGCCACACATTTTAATATCCCCGATGTTGTGTGTCGGGTTTCTCCTGTCCCTGGCTGTGTACAATTACCCCCCCCCCCCATACACTGCAGGAATATGTCCTTGCAGCCGGTCCTCCTCTGTTCCGAGTTCCTCCATGTAGGAGATTTGTTGTGTAATGCTGCCTTCCCTTGAACCGTATAAATCGATGGTGGGAGGAGAACGCTGCAAATGTGGGGGCTGCGGGAGGGAAGTCAGCGCTGCAGATGCGTCTTCATGGCTGAGAATTGTGCACAAATCATCGCTCCCCATTGTTCCGGGTTCAGGGACGGCATACATGAAGCTGCACCGACATATTGGTCTCCTCCCTCGTTCTCCTTCACTCGCTCCTCCCGCATTTCTTCCCAAAAAATGGGCGACTATTTGCCCTGAGAGTTGTCAGGTTTGCACATCTGGTGGAGGAAGTTTTATCGCTCTTCAGATTGCAGTCAGAATGTTCCAATGTTTAAAGCTGAACTCCGGACACGACTGTCCATCCAAGGCCTCTGCAGACCCAGATATTACCTTGTGAAAGTAGCTGTGACCTCATTACTGTGCCGTACAGCCTGTATACAGTGGTGGGAGGAGTCCAGCAGGTGATTGTGTCTTGGCCCACGTTGGCCATGTGTTGGGGTCCCCTTTAAAGCAGAACCCCGGGAACAAACGTCCTTGTTGCGGATTTCCTGTCTCGCTCAGCAGTTCCTCTGACATCATCTCTTTGTTTTCAGATCAGATTGTTCAATCTCTTTGGTTTGTCGCACTGGCGGCTGCTCCGCCTCCTATTCCCTCAGCCAATGGTCTTGGCACATCCCTTCTGTAGTTCTTTCTCCAGTAAGCAGTGATGTCATTCACTTGCGGTGGTGGGCGGACCGAGACTCTCATGAACAGACCTAGTGTACCCGCCCACATTCCCTGTGCATGATGGGAGCTGTAGTTTCCTTTCTCTGCAGAGAGCGTGGAGAGGATATGATGTCATCCCGGCTGTTACTCCTCCTCCTGGGCGGAGCAGATGCGGGTTGAGGTCATAAAGATTCAATTACTTTTCTCCTCCATTGAAGGATTTTCAGAATCTTATTGTCTGTTTTATGTCTGTGTGCGATCCTGTGTGTGTCCACACCTTGCAGAAGAGATGTGTGCGACTTCTGTGCGTCGGGGGATGTGTGCGACTTCTGTGCGTCGGGGGATGTGTGCGACTTCTGTGCGTCGGGGGATGTGTGCGACTTCTGTGCGTCGGGGGATGTGTGCGACTTCTGTGCGTCGGGGGATGTGTGCGACTTCTGTGCGTCGGGGGATGTGTGCGACTTCTGTGCGTCGGGGGATGTGTGCGACTTCTGTGCGTCGGGGGATGTGTGCGACTTCTGTGCGTCGGGGGATGTGTGCGACTTCTGTGCGTCGGGGGATGTGTGCGATTTCTGTGCGTCGGGGGATGTGTGCGATTTCTGTGCGTCGGGGGATGTGTGCGATTTCTGTGCGTCGGGGGATGTGTGCGACTTCTGTGCGTCGGGGGATGGGTGCGACTTCTGTGCGTCGGGGGATGTGTGCGAATTCTGTGCGTCGGGGGATGGGTGCGACTTCTGTGCGTCGGGGGATGGGTGCGACTTCTGTGCGTCGGGGGATGGGTGCGATTTTTGTGCGTCGGGGGATGGGTGCGATTTTTGTGCGTCGGGGGATGGGTGCGACTTCTGTGCGTCGGGGGATGGGTGCGATTTTTGTGCGTCGGGGGATGGGTGCGATTTTGTGTTCCCTCAGCACACACAAGTCTACACCTAGCATTGAGCCCCCTTTGGAGGGACTGCGCTCACGGCCGGCGGTGCAGAGAAGTCCTGTCCTCCTCCATGACGTCGCTCCTATTCCATCCTCGTGTTTTTACCTCCCGCGTGAATGGCGCCATTTCCATGTCTATCTGCAGCGATGGCCACGCCCGGCGCGTTCCTATTCATCGCACTCGAGTCGCAGGTCGCAGCGTGATTCTCACACAAGAGATGATTCATTGTGGATTCAGGAGGAGGTTC